CTTTGGTAGACATATATTGTCAGTTCCTCAAAATATGAGCTACGTTAGCTGACCCATGTATACTTCCCATGTATACTTCCTGTAACTCAAGGGCAAATCTTGAGGGGTGTTTCCAAAACTAACAGATGGCTTTAGCTGAAAGTGATAAACTATATAAGGAAGTTCCTGATTTTCATTCAGTGTTCAGGCCATTTATTCTTTGCTATGAACCTGCGCAAATAAACTATTCCTTCCCTGAAGAGTTGGCTTGCGTGTCCTGTTTTTTCTACAACAAGTACTCTGCACATCATCATTAAAATTACAACACACCATGCTGCAGCCATGCAAAACAGGTCTGAATAAAAAATGTTCTTTATCATAACCCTTGCAACAGGATTTGTTGCATTCTGGCGGCTGGGGTCTTGTGTCAGAGCATGCGATGCTGGCTTTTGCTGTTGTTTTAACATCTTTGGAATCAAAGGTTGCCATCTTTAAGAGACTGCTGAAATTAAGGCAAACTACCCAGCTCTTGTAATGACAAGTTTCTTGAGCCTTGTGCATGCCCAGAATCATGGGAGCTATGACATGGCCAGGCATGTCCCTGGCATGTCTCTTGTGCATGCACAGAATCACAGGGTGGGTGAGTGGGTGGGTAAGGCATGCCTGGGCATGTCCCAGACATGCCTCTTGCGCATGCCCAGAATCACATGAGGCAGGTGGGTGGCTGGGTATGACATGCCCGGGCATTTCCCAGGCATGCCTAAACAAGGCTTAACCCCTGCAAACAGCCTGGCGGCTTGCCTCTTGTGAACATTTTAATTTCTGTTAATATTCCTTGTCTTTTTCTGTAGATGGTCTTCAAAACGGTTAAATGAGTATTTGAGTGTGCAATTGGCAAAATATGTGTCTTTAGATTTTACAAAGGTAAAAACCAGCTGCAGGGTTTAAAAGGGCTGTGTTCCCCCCCCCCCCAGCCTTCAAGGAAATGTTTTTAAATCCACCGAGAAATAAATACCTTTTAGAAAAAAAGGTGGATTAAATGCAGGCCCTGTCTCCATAAAAATTAGAACCATCATTGCCTAGAAATAAATACCTTTAAGGGGGGGGGAGTGGGGTTAAATGCAGGGCCTAGGAAAATGATTAGAAATAAAAAAACATTTTTTTAGTTCACAACCCCCTTCCCCCTTGAATGTCCATAGAATTAGTCTAGGGTTAAGCTAATCATGTACCCAGAGGCTAGGCATCTTTCTTGATGGGGTTAGATTCAACACATCTTATTTGAAAAAATAGGGCTAGGACCTTGCACAACAACTTATCTGTTAGTTTTACTCATACTTACCATGATGGGCTTAGGACAATACAATATATCTGGCTAGGGTTATGTCCTTGTGAATCCTGCACCACGTGGGATCAATTATGCACATCCCAGCCAGGGAGGAGGGCTATGACATCATATGCAGAGGGTGGGGGCTGTGCACGTCATTTCCGCTTAGGGGCATGATCTGGTGATACAATCAGCACGTGGGTTTGTTTACTTTGATGACGTACTGATAATTTTCATTTAAAAAGGTATGAACTATATCTACTCAGGTTCTATAAAAAAAGTAGAAGGAACAGTAGAACTTGAGTAAGAAAATCACATAAATTTATTATCAACTAAATAACACAGTGGCCAATATGATTTAAAATTGGTGGGAATATAGAGTTGAAAAAGGAAATGAGCAGGTTAAAATATTGTATTTTCAGATACAACTGATAAAATCTTGGCTCATAACATGCCAGATTTAACTGTGCTTGACAAGAAGATATGATGGAGGACTGATGTGGCAATACCAGTGGATACTAGAATGCAAAGTATTGGAATCACAAAATATAAATATCTGAAATTCAAAGCTGAAAAATTATGGTGTAAGATTTTTGAATTCAGCTCAGAATCTGATAATTCAAATGAAACTCTGAACATGAGGCTACTGATAATCAGTTTTTATTTTCTGCAGTAAACAAAAAGACTTGATGTTTTTGTCTCCCACCTTAAAAGAGCAGGCAGAGAGAGAGAAAAAACAGGCATGTGCCTCACCGTTGTGAAAAAAACTTTTTTTCAAACTTCTTATAGTCGTACATAGCTTGCACAGATTGTCGTAATATTAGAAACATTATTTAATGTTACGCAAACCTCATGATTTTTCTCAGCACTCTGAAAACAATCAACCTGAGAAGGGGAAAGAAATACATCTTCTGGTGTATAAGCAGAGCTTTGTTAGGAAATGTTGAACACACATTTCAAGTTACAAGCAAGGTTACTTGGCAGAATCCACTTTTTACTTTTTCAAGAAGTTTCTTTGCTAGGCTAAGCTTGGCAATTCACCTAGAGGTTTTATCTATGAAGTTTGCATGTTAGATTACAATGGAACTTTCTCAAAAGCAATTTAACAAAAGCTGAATTAGGTTACAGTCTGTGTATGCTCTAACCCTTCAGAGATCTTTTCATTGGCATAAACATAGTAGTCCCAGTGATTGGGTATATCAAAAAACTTTGGAAAACATTTATAGAATCTGTGCACTGACAACATATTTATCTGTTAAATACACTATGCCAATACATTACAGATTCCTAGGTTCTTCGGAAGAATTCAGTCCTTAGGAAGAGCTAAAGAATGGCAGTGTGGTTTCATAATGTTGTGTATATCACTGGCACTAGAAAGTTTAAACCCAATACAGGCATATTATAAGCAAGAGTCAAGCTGCTCAATACCTGACTGACTTACTAAAAAAGTAATAAATATTGGACAAAAATCTAATAAATAAATTCTTCCAAGATTAGGCAAATGCATACTGGGCCCATAATGCATGACTTTTTGTTCATTTGTCTTCCTTCCAGTTGCTAGTGAAAGGACCCCTGAAGGATTAGAGCATACACAGAGTCTAATCTAATTCGGTTTTTGTTAAATTGCTGTTGAGAGAAGCTCCATTGTAACCTAACATGCCAACTTCATAGATAAAAACTTCTAGGCAAATTGCCAAGCTTAGCCTAGTAAAGTAACAAGTGGATTTTGTAAAATAACCACGCTTGCAACTGGAAATGTGTGTTCAGCATTCCCTAGCACAGCGTTTTTCAACCACTGTGCCGCGGCACACTAGTGTGCCGCGGCACTGTGTGAGGTGTGC